TTGAAACATATATGGAAAATATGCATTTGGATAGAATTGATATAAGTTTGCCTTTATTATTTATTGTACTACCAACAAAAAATTTTGGCAAGAAGGTCCATTATTATGGATACATTTATCTTATTCTCCTAACACTATTCTTACTAGGTATCCTGAGGCTGTAGGACAATTAATACTCAAAGGAATAAAAGCAGCAAAGGGAGTGTTTGGAATTTCTCCCAATAAAATTATTACTCCATATACTATGGATCAAATTGATGAGTTAGCTAACGAGTTAAATACTTGGGCAATAATCATGTGCAAATCTAATGTTTCATTTGATAACCACTTACCATCTAATCCTTTATTGTCTTTTTGGTCATCGCATCCTGTAATTTTTCCAAAAATGACAAGAAAAACACCTATCATGAATGCTCCAAATATATTCACTGATGGGTCAAATAATGGTACAGAGGCAGTAGTTACACCTGATCAAACTTTTACATTTTTAGTATCCAAACAATCAGCTCAAAAGGTAGAGCTTAATGCAGTATTACAAACTTTTGTGATGTTTAAAGATTCTGTATTTATTTTCCGATAGTCAGTATATAGTTAATGCTATAGTATCCCTTGAAATGCTGGTAGGATTTCCCCTTCCTCTACTGTTTTCTCTTTGTTTTCCACTACACAAAGTCTAATCTGGGGCAGAAAAGATCTATTCTTTATAGGACATATCAGGGCACATACAGGATTGCCTGGAGCCCTTAGTTTAGGCAATGATTTAGCAGATAAAACTACACATGACATACATATTTTCTCTACACTAGAAGAAGCTACAAATTTTCATAAAAAGTTCCATATCAATGCTAATACTTTACAAAAGCATTTTAAAATAACTAAGGAACAAGCTAGACAAATAATAAAACAATGTCAAAATTGTGTGACTTTTTTACCACAAGTTAATCTTGGAGTCAATCCTAGAGAACTGATACCTAACCATATTTGGCAGATGGACATCACACACTTGCCAGAATTTGGAAAATTTAAATATTTGCATGTTACAATTGATACTTCTTCAGGATTTTTGATGGGCTCCCTTCATGCCAGAGGAAAAAACTAAAGATATTATAGCTCATTGCTTACAAAATTTTGCCACTGTGGGCATTCCAAAACAGTTAAAAACAGATAATGCCCCTGGTTATACTTCTACCTCTTTTAAACAATTTTGCTCATCATTTGGCATTACTCATATAACAGGAATCCCATCCATACAATCCACAGGGACAAGGCATAGTTGAAAGAGCTCATCAAACTATTAAAATGTACTTATTAAAGCAAAAAGAGGGAATTGGGAAGGGGTATATATTCCCCAAAGATAAACTTAAAATAACCCTTTTTACTTTAAACTTTTTAAATTTGGATTCATCAGGGCTTAGTGCTGCGGAAAGGCATATGTGTCCAAAAAATGTACATAAGCCCAAGGTACTTTGGTGATATTCTAACAGGACAATGGAAAGGTCCTGACCCAGTGATTATCTGGAGTCGGGGGTCTGTGTGTTTCCACAGGGAGAACAGCAGCCGATTTGGATTCCAGAGAGATTAACTAAGGTCCTGACCCAGTGATTGTCTGGAGTCAGGGGTCTGTTTGTGTGTTTCCACAGGGAGAACAGCAGCCGATTTGGATTCCAGAGAGATTAACTAAAGCGATTTCTACAGACCAAAAGAAGATGATTTGGCTCAAATCCATAACAGCTGATATCCAGAACTCCAGTTTGGCTATCCTTACATATGTGACAGTGGTTCTCCCACACCTGGAGGCTAATGAAACTAGGATGCTTTTTTCAGTATCTATTTTATTATTGCCCTTTCCCACATCATGAAGTTCTATTTTGTTTTTTGAGCTCATTCAGACCTAGGTTAATGTTTTGCTGATCAGTTCTATTTTTTGACTTTGGAGTTTTTAAACATTGCAATGGAGATTTCACCTGTAAAAAGTTATAAGGCCTTTACTATTATGTTATGTGTTGTATGTATTATGTGTGCACACTTGTGTTTTGTGTTGTATGTTTGTATGTGCATATGTCCATATATCATATATGATGAGTGCTCATGAAAAAATGGATCCAAATATTTTTTTTCTTATTCACGTGATTTAAATGGTTTAATTTAAATTGGGTAAACAGCTGTTGAGGATTGTTTTAATATGTGAACAAAAAAGGAGGTTAACAGATCTGTTTGTTTACTTTCACCTTTCCTTTTCATTATATTTAATAATTCTGTTCAGGATAATGTAAATTGTTCAGAAAATTGTTTTCTTTTAGTGCCTGCTGGAATGTTACATAATTTTTTCTTTAGCCATTATTGCCAGAATTCCTATCTTCATCCCAGTGCTGGTGAAGACAAAGATGACAGCTATCACTGAACTGCTTGCAGAACTTGCCTCGACTATGTATCACTTGTATGCATTGTGAACTATCTGTTGGTGCAGCGACTTGTGGTAGTGCCGGGGTATTTTTGCTGATGGTGACATCGATGGTACAATTTTTCCAAAAGGAGCCGTCAATTGGCTTGGTGTATCCTCCTTCCTTCTGCTTGTGATGGTCATTCAGCTAAAATTTGGGGGCCAACAGAGGTGAGGCAAGAACCTCACCCCCGCACTGGTACAAAGGCCTATCCACAGGTGTGGCTGTATGCTGGACTGGTAGTCAATGACGGGTAAGATCCAATTGCAATGGTACCAACCTAAAACAGGAGGCTGACACCTTGAGGTCAGCTCATCTGATGACGGGTAAGGACCATATGTAGTATTGGACAACCTAAGGCAGGCATGGTCTCTAAGCCACATGCTTGTTGTTTAAACAGAGAGGGGGGATGTTGAGAGCCACAGCCAAAGGGGCCCCAGCAAACTTCCAGCTGATTGGCTCACCATGGCCCCAGCAAACTTCCAGCTGCCAGCTGATTGGCTCCTCTGCAGTGATGCTCATTGGGCTGTTTCTCCGCCCTTTCAGACCACGGAGCTGCTCTTTGGGGGACTCTTTTGGCTCTGCCCACGCGACCCAGCCAATCAGCCTCAAGAGCAGGAGGAGTGGGGGATTGAGAGGCTTGTGGGAAGCCGGTGGTGGCAGTTGGGCTCTGAGGGAATTCCTGAAGAGCTTGTGTGGTGCAGAGTGTGTGTTCTAAAAGTTCATTTCTGCTTGATAAGTGGCTCGTGAATTGTGCCCAGCCAGACTGCAGGAACAAAGTGTTTAAAAGTATACAGATCACTGTAAATATATGAAGCACTATGGTAAATAGTCATTATAGTGAACAAAACAAGTTTGGTCTTCACCCTAGTGGGAATTATGGTGTAGTTGGAAAGATAAGTGAAAAGGCTTGGGAGATTTGCTATAGGATAAGGAATTCTCAGCAATATTTTGATGTTTCTAGGAATAATTCACAAGGAAGAAAACAGTTAATGTAATAAAAGAACTGGAGGCTTTGAGAAATGAGAGGGGATTATGGGACTCAAATCATACGTGAAGTGTTTGCATTTTGGTAAGGGGGACCCTTCAGTTTTAACTAGAAAGATTGGATGATGCAGTTGGTAGGTTCAGAGATGGTTTCTCTATGAAATAATAACAGAAAGCCATAGTTGCTACCTATTTCTCAACTCCTAAGGTTCTCTAGTTGTTTCACACTTCTGAGATTCTGATTTTAACCCTTTTTTTCTTTTCTTATTTTAGTGACCCTGGGGATTGAACCCAGAGACACTACCATTAAGCTACATCCCCTAGCACCACCCTCTTTTTTTTTTTTATAATTTTTATTGTTGGTTGTTCAAAATATTACATAGTTCTTGATATATCATATTTCACATTTTGATTCAAGTGGGTTATGAACTCCCATTTTTACCCCGTATACAGATTGCAGAATCACATGGGTTACACATCCACTGATTTACATATTGCCATACTAGTGTCTGTTGTATTCTGCTGCCTTTCCTATCCTCTACTATCCCCCTCTCCTCCCCTCCCCTCCCCTCTTCTCTCTCTCTACCCCATCTACTGTAATTCATTTCTCCCCCTTGTTTTTTTTTCCCCTTTCCCCTCACTTCCTCTTGTATGTAATTTTGTATAACCCTGAGGGTCTCCTTCCATTTCCATGCAATTTCCCTTCTCTCTCCCTTTCCCTCCCACCTCTCATCCCTGTTTAATGTTAATCTTCTTCTCATGCTCTTCCTCCCTACTCTGTTCTTAGTTACTCTCCTTATATCAAAGAAGACATTTGGCGTTTGTTTTTTAGGGATTGGCTAGCTTCACTTAGCATAATCTGCTCTAATGCCATCCATTTCCCTGCAAATTCTATGATTTTGTCATTTTTTAATGCAGAGTAATACTCCATTGTGTATAAATGCCACATTTTTTTTTTTTTTTTGAGACAGAGTCTTGCTAAGTAGCTGAGGTTGTCCTCAACTTGATCACTCAGCTTTCTGAGTCACTGGGATCACAGGTGTATACCATTACTGGTTTTAATCCTCATTTTTCACCGGACAATTCCTAATTATTCTTCCAGACTCATCTGGGCTACCACACCCCCACTATTATAATTCAATGAATTCTATGCTTACTTCCCTTAGAAAACTAGTAAGGTTCTTGAAAAGCTTGGTCTGCGTCCTTAGTGTCAGATTCCATGCAGGATATTTAAGTAAGGATTTGCAATGATGTTTAACATAAATTTTAATAAAACTTTCTCTGAATCTATAACTAGGAATATTTGTTAGAGGGACATGAAAGTGCCAGGGATTAACCAATCCCTGGAATAAAGCAGCTCATATAACATCTGTGCCCTTTTAAAATGGCACTGCTAGCCAGGCATGGTGGCATGCATCTGTAATCCCTGCTACTGGGAAGCTGAAGCACATGGATCAAAGCCAGCCTGGGCAACACAGCAAGAGCCCACCTCAGCGCTGCTCTGGCTGTCCTTTTTACTTTCAATGTAGAGGTTCCTGCATTGTTGTAATATTGACACACCACCACAATGGCTTTCATTTAGTCCTTTTGTTTTATTCAAATGCCAAAACATAAGTTCCCAGATACAAACTGTAGTTGTATTCATTTGTGTTTGATTTAAAAATATCAACTATGCTTTGTTAACAACTTGTGAAACCAAAGGTAAATTGTTGACCATAATGTCTCCCAGTCCATTTCTGGAGGATCTTAATATAACTACTCCCAATTTTCACTCTACAAAAAGGAAAATGATGCTATAAGAGAAAATAATGAACAAAGTTAAAATACGAAAGATTCCTAAAGAGAATGTGAACCATTATTAGGGAGAGTAAGGATAACTTTTTCTATTTCACACTATAGCAATCAGGCTATACTCTGCAAAAGTGCATTTCTGGTCCTACCCCAGCCATAAATAGGTACCTCACATCCTTTTTATTATATCATAGCCCAAGCCTTCAACAGGATTTCTAATCTGTTAATAGCCTAAGAAAAAGTGAGTAAAAGGAAAACTAAAGACTAAAAACCAAAAAATGAACACAAATACTTAAAGGTACTCTGACTTAAACAATTTCAAATGAGACTGAATTGAACAATAATATAGAAACTGTGTCATTACAGAAGGAAAGAAAAAAAAAAAACCTTAAAGGGTATCCAGTTTAATAATAATGGAATTAAATAATATAATTTTCATTTGTTAAGTCCAAAAAATTTCCTCTTTTAGTTTTGCTATATAATGAAGGTTAATAACTTATATTAGTGTGAACACATTCACTTTGGCTAATGGCAAAACACATTTTCTTTAATGTTCTATGAAGCCAAATAATTAGATGTCTAGCATCAAAACAAAACAAGAAACTAGCTTAGTACTTTGGGAAAGTACACATTATCAGGGTATTTTACTTAATTCTGCACATGGCTGTTACTATGACACTGCATGCTAGTTAAAAGAATGAGATGTATGGTCTTTTTCTGAAGATTTATATCAGACTTAATTCCATCAACTCACCCTTAGTATTAAAAATGGCTCAAAGATGGCAAATAAATGAGACAAGTCGGTAAGAGAATGTCTTTTTTTTTTTTTTTGTAAGTACCAAATGGGAAGTTAGCATCACACAATAGCAGATAAGACTAAGAATGTAGCTAAACAAATAATCAATTTATGGTCTTCAGGCTATTTTTTTCATGAAATTTTAAACTTCTTGAAACTACCTGGTCCAATTTGTAAGATGAATAAAATTCCAATATTTTCAGGAAATGAATGTTGGTAGAAAAAGGTAACACTAAAGAATGGTACCCCAATATTCAATTTTAAAGAATTTATTTTCCCATTTGTAGAGTAACATTATTGTAAAATCCACAGTTATTGCAATACCTGCATTGCTTAAAAGAACACCTAAGAATTTTGTTAAAGCATATTTTTTAAAAACTGAACCAAAATAATATACATTTTATCTCTAAACATTGTGCCATTAAAGTCCACATAATGTCCGCTGTATAAATCAATGTGATGTTACAATAATATACATGATCTGATTCTTATCCTAAAGGCTTCTGATCATGTATGATATCCAAGATAGATTCAATGCCTTTAATGTCAGACTGTAGAAACAGTTATGATCCTAAACATAAGAAGGAAAAGCTTTATATACAGGACAGAAGTCTGACAGTTTAGCTGTTTGCAGCATCTGCTTGGCGAGGCCATCCTTCTTCCTCAACTCCAGAGTCATACTCCTCTTCAGAGGATTCTTTTGTTGGGGCCCTATAATGAAAGTCATGTTTGTTTTTTAAATAAAAACCGAGATAAACAGGATTTCTAGATTCAAAGTAGCAAATTAATTTCCCTATCTAAAAATCCACAAAACAAGCACTTTTAAGATTGCTTAGTAGTGAAATATGGGAAAAACTACAACACAGTTGCCAAGTACACTTTCCAACATTTTTCCTAATAAATTTCTTATTAAAACTATAACTTATGAGCCAGATTCAGTCCATTGCCTGTTTTTGTAAACAAAGACTTTCTGGAATACAGACATGCTTATTCATTTACATATTGTCTATGGCTACTCTTGTGCCACAAGGGCAGTTGTGAATAGTTGCAATACGGACCATAAAGCCCTAAAGTATTTATCTAGCCTTTTATGAGAATGTTTGCAGATTCTTGGAACAGATCAAATAAAGTAGTGAAAGATGTCATATTTGTCAACTGGTACAACTACTGAAAGAAAAAATTATGAACACAAAGTTTTAGTCTTATGAAAGATATGAAAAAAAGTCATTTTTTCAATTAAGAATTATTAGTAAAGTTCATTTTAATCTCTTAATTTTGACTACTTTTATGTTTCTTTTGATAATTTTTCCTTACGGGGAAAATGGATGCTAATTTTGAAGATCAATTTTCAAAAAGACTCACAAAATATTATTTCATAGGCCCAGATTAGATTTTTCAGAAAATTCATAAGATTACTTCCTTTACAAAAACACAAGGATTATTATGCAATTTTAAAATGACAGACCAATAAACTATAATAATAAAGACCAAAAAGGATCTTAAACTTTAGATCTTTTCTGGTTTGAAATACACTTTACCGAATGTATCCTGGTTCCTTTTTTCCTTCTACTACTTCTTTGTCAACCTCCACGCATACAATATCAGAATTAGGGACTTCAAACATTGGTTCTAGTAACAATTTTTCCTAAAGATATAAAAAGTAATAAATTACATGGAAAACAGGTTACATACAAAATACTTTTGTTCTATAGGTCAAGTGAATCCATTCACTCAAGAAAGACTGTCTATTATACACTCAAAACTGAAATCAATGTAAAAATTTTCGCGTTCTTTATATAAAAACAGTTTCTAACCAAATTCAGAAAAATCTTTTTACAAATAAGCTATTTGTCTGTAGTTTTGCCTATTTAGGTCAACATGCATGTACAAAAAGACTATGCTTTCAAGCTCACATGTTAACTCAGAGCTGTCCTGGCTTATTCTATTATTGAGGAGATCAAAAGATAATCCTTACTTTGAAAACAGTTCATTCTAAATCACTTCTACCAAGCTCTTCAATTTCAAATGACGACTCCAAATGAACACTGGTCTCAAATGCTGCAGTGGATCTAAAATTGTTTACTACAGAAAACCAGACTTGCCTTTAGGTCAGGGCTTTGCCTCTGAGTGTTATTCTAAAGGAAAATACTGACTGGGGACCTCAAATTTTCTTAAAAATGTCAACTCTATTACCTTCTCTTCATGTTTATAAAACTGTCCTTAATCATTAACACTTTATTTCCAAGCCCTTATCAGAGAGTATAATCCCACACTATCTGTGATGGATGAAGTGTTTCAATCAGAAGTCCTACTAAGGAAAGGGAAATGATAGTTAGCAGTGAAATCATTAAAAGGGCCAGGCTCAATGGCACAACCTATAATTCCAGCAACTCAGGCAGCTGAGGCAGGAGAATCACAAGTTCAAGGCCAGCCTCAGCAACTTAGGGAGGCCCTAAGCAATTTAGTAAGAGCCTATCTCAAAATTAAAAATAAAAAAATGCTAAAGATATAGCTCAATGGTAAATGTGCCTTTAGGTTCAATCCCCAATACCACAAAATGAAAAAGAAAAAAAATCCTTAAAAGGAAATAGGAACGGGGCTGGAGTTGTAGCTCAGCAGTAGAATACTCGCCTAGCATACGTGAGGCCCTCGGTTCGATACTCAGCACCACATTAAAATAAAGATATTGTGTCCAACTACAACTAAAACATAAATATTAAAAAAAAAAAGAGGAAATAGGAACATGGGCTTGCTTTGGGAGCAGGTTGAGTATATAGTAATTCATTGTACAGTCAGACATGGAGGGCAGGGAAAAAAAACTCTAGAGAGGGTAATGGCAGAAAAATAGTCTGTATATCTGGGAAGTATACAAAGTTTAAAAGTAGGCATGGTGGTACACACTTATAATCCCAACTACTAGGAAGGTTGAGGCAGGAAGATTCAAAGTTTGAGGCTTGCCTAGGCAACTTAGTGAGATCCTCATCTCAAAGTATAAAATAAAAAGGATTGGGGATGTAACTCAGTGACAGAGTACTTGCCTAGCAATATGTGAGGCCCTGGGTTCAATTCCCAGTACAGAAAAAAAAAAAAAAAAATGTGAGTTCACCTCATAGAAGAACTGAGGGGTAAAATGTCATGGTGTCTGCAACTTACTTTCAATCAAATAAAAATGGGGCTTTCAATTGGTCTCAGAAAGGGCTCAGTACTTAGAATAAAGGACCACATAGAATTTCTTCAAATTGTTCTATGATCCTGATTTTCTGTATTTCACTTATCATATTATGTATGTGTCCTTGTTTGCAAACACCTTAAAGTTCCTTTTTGTTTTCTGGTGCTGGGAATTGAATCCAGGGATTCATGCATGTTAAGCAAGTGTTCTACCACTGAACCATACCCCCAACCCCAAAGAACCTTTCTGGGGAAAAAAAAAAAAAAAAGAAAATCTGCTGTGACCTCCATCCTCTCTGTCCCCTCAAGAAAGTCACACAAACACATACAAAGAAACTTTAGGCTGATTCTGTAAATACATTTGCAAAAGCAAAACAGGAGGCTTAATAGTCTCAAAACTCATGCCAAGAAATAATCTATTTTAGAATAACACCAACTTACCATTATGGACCGAAGGCCTCGTGCACCTGTTTTTCGTTCTAGTGCCAATCTAGCTATGGCTTTCAAAGCATCCTCAGTAACATTCAGTTCACACTACAAATAGATTAAAAATAAAGGAAAACTTAGATAATCCTTGATAATATTTTCCTAATATAATCATATAGCATTTGAGCTATTAACTATAATTATCACCATTATTCTTTTTAGAATCATAGAATTTTAGAACTAAATGAAACCAATGCTTTGACTTTCCAGATAAATAAGTTTTAGAGGGATAGTCTGATCCAACTACAACTCTGGTGGTAGTGGTCAAAGATAGCCTTGGGCTGGGGATGTGGCTCAAGCGGTAGCGCGCTCGCCTGGCATGCATGTGGCCCGGGTTCGATCCTCAGCACCACATACAAAGATGTTGTGTCTGCCAAAAACTAAAAAATAAATATTAAAAAAATTCTCTCTCTCTCTCTCTCTAAAAAAAAAAAAAAATTAAAAAAAGATAGCCTTGAAACAGGGAGACCAATTGGGAACCAAGGCAGAGGTCAAGAAGAATGATAAAGGAGCTTGATTTTAGGCAGTGACAACAGAGAGAAGATGACTGATATTTAGAGATGTTAAATTCATAAAACCCAAAACATTTACTATCTGGTTGAATGTGTGGGCTAGATTGACTTATCATGTGTTTACTACAGATATGTAGATATGAAAGCTAATAAAGTTTTATTTAGACAAGTGTACAACAATATAAGCCAAGTGCCAGTAACACATGTAATCCCAGGGAGGATTACAGGGAGGCTGAAGCAAGAGGATCCTAAATTTGAGCCCAGTCTCAGCAATTTAGTGAGACCCTGTCTCAAAATAATAAAAAGGGCTGTGGGTGCACCTCAGTGGTAAAACATACCTGGGTTCAATCCCCAGTAGTAGGGGGAAAAATATATGAAAGTATATATAGTATGTGACAATAAAAGTATTTAGAATGTCAGTGATAAAAGGACAATGCTGTGTATTTGGTTTAGAGGGGAAGGCCAATGACATCATTTCTTTCTATATACATCCTTGGGCTTTACATCACAATGATGTTTAATTTAGAAAAAAAGGAACCCCTAAATGTCTATGTAACACAATGTGCCTTCCTTGATTCATAGATCTATACCTAGTAAGAAACAGACTTATACTTAGTGAGGAACATTCCAGATGAACAGGATTCCTTTTTAAATCTGGAAGGCTAATTTAGATATTTTAGAATTTCAACAGCGAGAAAATAATTAAATATGAAGAATAAAAACCTAACCTTATCCATGCTGAATAAGGCTTGGTATTGAGGAATAACAGCATTACGTGGCTCAGTTAGTATTTGTACAAGCGTTTTCTCATCTAGGCTATGCAAAGGAACCACCACAGGTAATCGTCCCACAAACTCAGGAATCATGCCAAATTCAATGAGATCTCTGGCTTCTACATGACGTAATAACCGATCTTTTTCTTCAATGTCTTGGTGAGTATTTGATTCTCCACTTCGATTAGCAAGATCTGCAGCAGCTGCAGCCCTTCTGCCTTTTCCCAGATTAGATGGTGTTCCAAATCCAAGATACTGCCAAAGAAATCATGCATATTATAAACAGTAGAATAAAGCTTAAGCACTTTACATACATACCTCATGTGATCTTTGCAACAATTCTACAAAGAAAGTTTTATTATTATTCACATTTTATAAAGGCGTAAAACAGGCTTATAGAGATTAAGTCCTTTGACCAAAGTCTTGCTGTAAGGGGCAAACCAAGAACTTGGGTCTGTCTGCCTTCAGAACTGTGTCTGCCTAATCACTACAGGATAATCAACTCTCAAAGCATTCTAACAGAAGTAGATATGTAAGACCTATTAAGTGAAGTCCCTTAGAACTCAGATAATAAAGTTGCAGAGTTTAGCCAAGACCACTAGACAAGTGTGCTTTCTAAAAGGTATAAGAAATATGAAAATTGAGATATCAATTTTTGTCATCAAAGTTAATTTTGTAGTACTATAAATTAGGATAATGCTTATGGAATAAACAGTCTTATAAAAAATTATATACAAACATCAGATTCTGCACTGCTGTGGCTTTGGGACTTCATTTGGCATTGACATCCCATTGTTAAACATTCTACTAAAATCATGATTTGGGGCTGCATACATCAATCTATGAGTTAGAATAATTCAGATTTTACAAGGAACCTAAGGATGATTCTAACCCAATGCTAACTTTGTTGAATGAGGGTTGATTATTGAAAGGTTTATAGTCTTGATGCAGTCAACATAAAAGAACCATACTCCAGTCAGCTGTTAGAAGGTTTAATCCTTACACATCATATAGTTTATGTTAAAAGTACAAGAGAAGCATGTTATACAAGAACATAGCCTAAGCTAAAAACTGGTCCATACTGCACTAAATGTTTGTGTTTCCCCAAAATTCAAATGCTGAAATCTTAATCCACAAGGTGATGGTATTAGGAGATGAGCTTTTGGGACATGATAAAGTCATAGGGTGGAGTCCTCATGAATGGGGTTAGTATTCTTATACTAACTATACTATCCTTTGTCTTTTTTGCCCTGTAAGGTTACAGTGAGAAGATGGTCATCCATGAGGAAACAGGTCCTCAAAAGACATCAGATAAACTGGTGGCTTGATCCTAGACTTCCCAGTCTCCAGAACTGTGAGAAAGAAATTTCTGTTGTTTGCAAACCACCTAATCTATGGTATTTTATTACAGCAGTCTGAATAAATTAAGACACGGTTCCTCTGATTCTCCAAGCTATGTACATGAAGAGTTGCAAAATACCTTTCATTCAAAATTATTAAAATTATTAACATTGAAATTTATCTAACATAAAAGCATATATAATAATAAATCTATATACTCATAAAAATGTTAAAACTCAGAATACATGCCTGAAGACAGACTTTATCCCCAAAGGGGTAATCTTAAGAGAGAGAATATATAAAAGTATAAAAGTATTACAAGTACTATGAGAGATGACTACTGGGCACTGTGGCAGTAGAAAAGATCCACATACTGGGGAGAAGTGACCAAGAAAATCTTCACAGAGAAATTAATTGATCATTTAACAGGTATTTGCTGACTGAATTGATATAGGGGAAAAAAGAGGCAAAAGCAAGTAGAATAAAAGGACTGTAAACAGTTTCATATGGTTGAAACACAGGTATATTATTTTTTATATTTATTTTTTAGTTGGACACAATATTTTTTTTATTATTTTTATGTGGTGCTTATTAGGATGGAATGCAGGGCCTCGCACGTGCTAGGTGAGTGCTCTATCGCTAAGCCACAACCCCAGCCCCCACAGGTATATTATTTAATATTGTATTCTTGGCTTTTAATGAGGGTTGATAAAAACAATACCTGCATGGGGTTCTTAATCTTCTATAAAATCACTCTTGGAGAGTCTCATGTCTCTTTCTCCATTACATTAAGATTTATGCAACATATCCTTTTAAAACTCTCTCTCCTAAAAATCTGATATGCTTCCTCCCTTTTTCATGTAATAACTACAGCCCATGACTTCCCCCTATTTTTTTGTTTATAGGTTTGTAGCTAAATGAAGTAATTTAATTCTCAATGGGTCAAAACTATATCTAAATCTTTCTTTTACATGTTTTTTATTCCTTTCTGATATTACTTTTAATTGTTCTATACTACATGTTTCAGCATCAAATTCTTTTTAGAAGTATAAAGAAATATTAAATGTAAATTAATATGAGTACATGGTCCCTGTTTTTGGTTACAGAATTTCAAATACAAGGTTATCTCTTACCCACACATGAAGAAAAAAAGAATTTCTTCTAATTTGTTAATTTATGCAGAATAGCAACAGTAAGAAAAATACAGTTCATAGTTAATTTATATTTTTCCTACTGTTGCAATTCTACATAAATTCATACAAAAATAAAAATCTAACCTTATTCATGCTGAATAAGGCCTGATTACATGGCTCAGTTATTATTTGTAAAAGTGTTTTCTCATGTAGGGTATGCGAAGAAACTACCAAGGGAACAAATACTACTCTACTGCTACTTAAACTCATGCATTAAACTAGACACTGATAACCAAGAAGACTCAAAGAAAACAACACAGGGAACCGCTAATTTGACATTCATTTTGGTAGAATGTTATAATAACATACAAGTGAACATTTGTGGCTAGTTATTAAGTAAAACACAAACACATGAAAAATCCACGTGTGTTCTGTACTTCTTGCCACCATGTTGATATTACATTTTATATAATCAATCAACAGACAGGTCATGAGCATGTAATTTGAAGACCTGAAGAAGTTAAGTCCCAGTCCCAGTTAAAAACAGGGCTTGCCAGGTACCCCAGCAACTCGGGAGGCTGAGACAGGAGGATCACAAGTTCAAAGCCAGCCTCAGCAATATCGAGGTGCTAAGCAACTCAGTGAGACTCTGTCTCTAAATAAAATACAAATAGGGCTGGTGATGTGGCTCAGTAGCCCCTGAGTTCAAACTACAATACCAAAAAACAAACAAACAAACAAAAAAAAACAGGGCTTAGCCAGGAACAGTGTTGTCCGCCTATAATCCTAGTGGCTTGGGAGGCTGAGCAGGAGGATGGTGAGTTCAAAGCCTGCCTCAACAAAAGCAAGGCACTAAGCAACTCAGTGAGACCCTGTCTCTAAATAAAATACAAAACAGGGCTGGGAATATGGCTCAGCGTCAAGTGCCCCTGAGTTCAAACCTCGGTACCCCTCCAAAAAAACAAAAAGAAACATCTATGAAACTAGGTAAAATGACAACCCCACTCCCAAATGGTTTCTTCTATTTGTAAATGCCAGCAGTGATTTATGATAGACTCTATGGGAAGGAACAATGGAGACAAGCTGTTTAATAGACTTTAGTAAACATGGCAGAAGGAATTAATAAAAATTTTATTAATATAGCAGCTACCTCAAATGATAAGAGAACTCCATACATAAATATAAAATTGAATTCATCATATTATACTTTAAAAATGCCCACATCTAGTATTTTGAAATCCTCTAATTTACTGCTCTAAAATTAAAACAACCTGTAATATACTTCTGATATACTCTAACCCTCAATGACTGGTAGTCATAGATATGAGAACAGAAACTGAGTTTCCATAAAATCATTACATAACTTTCTTTTAAGATAAGAACTACTTTAAAATGTAACTACTTTAAAAAGTAACTCTGTAATGCTCCAACTCCTCAGAAAAACTTACCTTCTCATTTTTTCTTCTGCTGATGATTCTGTCTAAACCATTAAAAGCACCGGATGCAACAAACAGGATATTTGTTGTATCAACTTGTACTGTTTCTCCTCGTAGCTTTCGGGAATTCTTCTCTGGAACATTGACTATTGTGCCTTCTAGTAGTTTTAATAAGCCCTAAATAAAGAATGATTTATAGCATCACCATATATAAGTGCATTATTTATCATAATTTACGTAATGGCATTCAATGGGGAAATAATATGTGGTTATGGTCAATGAGCATAACTAATGAAAACTCCCACATAACAACTAACATAAAAAATCAAATGTACCTATCAGCTTAATAATTCATGAATTTATTTGAAATGAATACAAGACTCCTGATGCATTGTAAGTGAGGAAATAGTCAATCTAAGAAGTTGTTTTTGATAACAAAGCCATAACTCTGACCAAAAGACAGAATTATGATTCTATAAAATGGTTCCTAAACATAGTGGGAGCATTCAAAATTTGAAAATAGTTGGTTTGTCTTTCATATAAATTAAAATTCTTTTCTACTCCAGTTTAAACTTTGGAAATATATTTTGAGATGCCTTCATAAAAATAAAATTATCTAGCACATATCTTTGTTACTGTTTAAAAAGTGAAGCAATTTGCTATACCTTTTAGTTTATATCATAATTAATTACCACTAAAAGGTTAAGTTGGCCAATAGATCATTGTAACTTCAATTATGACTCTGAAGGAATGACACACTATTTGACACCTATCTTCTAACTAAGTGGAAAGAATAAAACATGTATAGTTCATTCATGTCTAGTTAGAATCAGAACTTTTTCAAGAGTCTTCTAGAATGCTTAACTGGGCCTTTGAGGAATAAAAATAATAAAAATTAAGTTTTGTTTTTTCTGTTCTTTAAAATATTTTTAATTTCTCAAGAAAAGTAATTTGTTACATAAAATCATTAATAACTTTCTTTTAAGATCAGAACTACTTTAAAATGGTATGTGAAGTTTAGGGTGGGAGGAATAAAACAAATTAAAAAAAAAAATCTAATTGAATGTGAAACCAAACGTACAATATTTGGGAAGCTGATGTATTCCCTTCCTTTTAGTGGGCTTGAACAAAATATTCAACTGCTTACTTGCTGAACGCCTTCTCCACCTACATCCCGTAATTGATGAATGCCTGGCACACTGCCAATCTTATCTACTTCATCCAGAAAGACAATTCCTATAATTTAAGGAGGATTCTATTTATAATATGAAAATGATATACACAAGATAGCCTCAGCTTTAAAAGACTAGAGAACTACTGAGCAAGGTTGTTCAATTTTTCATACTTAACATATGCAATGGATTGATATATTAAAAACATATTGCTCTCTAATTCATCTATCGTTTTGTGCAAATACTTTGAAATTTATTCAATAATATCATTTGAGTATGATAAGCAAAGCTCTTTGATAACAGTTATCTACTCCACTAATATACTCAAGTTCTTTAATATGAGAAGCTGAGATACAGTGTGGAAGCATGAGGTACATGCAGTGCTGGCAGTAGCAAAACTTTAGCTTGCTCTTTCCCATCTACATTCTTGCATTTAAAAAATATTTATTTATTTACTTTTATGTGGTGCTGAGGACTGAACCCAGGGCCTTGCATGTGCTAGGTGAGCACTCCACCACTCAACCACAACCCTAGCCCCCTACATTTTTGTCTTAAAGGAATTTGGACAGGAAGCTGTCATGCTCTTCATGTAAACAAGTACACAGGATAGATGGAGAAATGAAGCATTTATGCCATCCTGTAGGTCAACAGGCTAAACTGTTTCTAGACTCACCCATTCTAAACTCACCTGCTCTTGCCCAAGTCCCCACTCCTGTCCCTACCCCAGCATTAGGAGTCTGGAGGGGAGTTAGACAAGGAAAAACAATGATAATGTTAAGGATCTAATGGAATAGTAACTTGACCCTAGCAGCCACCTTAGTGACCAAAAGATAAAGCAAACTTATGGCCCTTACTGAATGTACTAGAAAGTATATAACAAAGGTACTTCTATAAAATTATAGAATTTTAACCATTAACTCAAAACAAATGTTGTTTCTTAATATTAATTTCCCAAAATATTAAATCTGGGGATAGACAAGCTATGCTGCCAACATACCTTGTTGTGCTTTTTCTACATTATAATTGGCATCTTGGAGCAGTTTGGCAATCACAGATTCAATATCTTCACCTACATATCCAGCCTGAGTCAAAGTTGTACAGTCACAGATAGCAAAAGGGACATCAAGGCATTTAGCTAAAGTTTGTGCCAGCAGGGTTTTACCTAAAAACAGAAACAGAAACTAAAAGTTTACTAAAAATAAATTGACAATAAGTTTTTCTACAAAAATGCAAAATAAATTTGAGTAGTTTATAATAAAAGTCATTAACTGGAAGACCTTTTCTCCACTATTATTCAGATCTAATTTTATCTTATTATTATTCCTGTTAAGAAGTTAGGAATTGGCCAGAAGGTCAATACTAACATCTCAAGGTCAGCTTGAAGCCTAAACAAGAAAACTGACAATGTATTTAGAAAATCAGTCTTAAATTTTCTTCATAAAATCCAGAATCCCTCAATCACAGATATAAATTACAGAATCATTTATATTCTATTTTTTTAAGTCACTAGTAAAATTTCCCAGGAAGTTATTTACCTGACCCAGTTGGTCCAAGCAGCAAAATATTACTTTTTTCAAGTTTTATATCATCATGAGAAGAATCCAATACTTCACCTCCTCGTTTTTCCTGAGGTATTTGTTGATTTACCTGTTGCTGCATTGATGCTCCTAAAGCATTACCATGTGGGCTAATTCCAGCAATCTGAAGCAATTCTGAAAAAAAAGCCAAAGGAATTACTAGAGCTGCATCTGAATTTTCTTGAAAATAGGCTCCATAAAACTCTATATCTAAAACTAAATTCCAATTTAGAAAAATTTAAATGTCAACATTTTTTCTTATCTAAAAAAGGAAAAAAAAATCTCCAATTATGTCTAGCAAGAAATGTACAACACAAAATTATACAAAGAATCAAGGAAAGAAAATGGATTCTTCCCACCCTCATTATTTAATAAATGTTAAAGAATGGTATTTCACCCAAAGGAAGGCAGTAATAGTGCTAAGAGTCAGAAATCTTTAGCTAAATGTACAACACAAATAGCTATATGATCCTTGGCAAGTGTATGTTTATGGCACAATGTTCACTGTGATTCAAATAGCAATAATACCTGTCCTGTTGATTTCAAACACACAATTGAAAAGAGTAGATAAAATGCAATTGATTTGGGGGCATGCTGAAAGATGAAAATGGGATGTTATTTTTTTTTTTCAGCAAGAGAAATGATGAATGGAAAGAGGAAAAAACAATTGGATTCTAGTCTCAATTCTGTTGCTTCAGGGATATGGGACCATGGAAAGACACTTAACTTTCCTGGACCTGCTTCCATATTTACAATGGGAAAATACTAAAACATATGACCTTTATAGTTTCTTTCACATCTCGAAATGATTGTATGAGTATCCAAAAAAACAAAAACAAAATAAAGGGGTTGGAGTGGTGGCTCAGTGGTAGAGTGCTCGCCTAGCATGCATGAGGCACTGGGTTCCATCCTCGGCACCACATAAAAACAAACTAATGTATCCATCTAAAACTTAAAAGATACATAAAAATAATAAATATTTAAAAAATAAAAAAATATAAAACATGGTTAAGTCTCACTATTCCTGGCCCTATCTGAATCTCTGATTTTGACAGGTCTCAAAAGGGAGCTCTCTAGTCCGTTCAATATAGATACAATGCCTAATTAGACAGGATTAATATTGCTGGTAAGTATCAGTTTATCAGCTCAGGTCCCTACCAAAATGAATCTTTTTTTTTTTTTTT